CAGGCCCAGCTCGGCCCCCTGAGAGCTTGGCCGAGGCCAGGAGCCGTGTCGGAGGCCGAGAGCGGTGTCTTGCCGGTGTCTGGAGCCGGGGGTGGGGAAGCCTGGGGTGTCTGGTTGAGAGCAGCAGCCTGCAAGCGCACCGGGGTGGAGCGTCCCGTTAGCGTCACGGTTTGCCTTTTGCCTCTGAAAAACACATTTTCTGTTGCTCAACAGACTTAAAAGACTAGAAAGCCCTCTTATAGGGATGGGTGATGGAAGACGGAAGAGACCTCACTTGGTAGAGGAAGCTGGCAAAGCAACTAAGCAGAGTTTGCAGTAGATCCAGATCGAAGTGTCTCCTCTCTCCAACAGACTGTCTTTCAGAGTCAGAAACGGGACGTAGCGTTTCCAGCCCTCCATACCCCTTTTCTCTCTACACCAGAGAAACTTCCTGACAAAGTGCCTTGTTCCAGGGGATGGCTGATCCTCATACGAGATGACTACCCACTGCTGCAGTTAGATATTCAAGTCTTTCACTCTAGGTCTAAAGATTCCCTCCCTTCTAAAGCTTCAAGTTTGCTCTAGCTGCACGATGGAATTCAGTGCTGTTTAAAAGCTGCGAAGCTACGTGAAAAGGTTAAAATAATATTAAGATTGTACATCAAGCACTCAAAATTTGGAAAATTAGAACTGCCAGAATTAAGATTGTCTGTGAGACCTTATTTTCGTCCCTTGTGTATGGGGGATGCGATTATCTTTCCATGATTCCTGTGTCATTTATGTGCACAAGAAATCGGTTAGTGCTATTGAGTGAATAAAATTGGATCTGTAGAATACTTTCTTTTTTTATTCCTGCAGTTGGAATGTAGAAGGCACTTATCCTGATTCAAGAAAAAAAAAAAGACAATCGAATTGCATCCTTAGAGAACTGAATCTTCCTTTCACCCCTTTCATAAAATGCATGTGTGAGAATGGACAAGTCACTTCATACTCATTGGGGTGACTGTTTGATTTTTAAGTCCTCTAAGCCTGAGATATATATATGGCAAAATTTTCACAAATGCTGAGTATTTGTAATTGCAACATAGATCAATTGAAACAATGCTTTGAACTTATCAGTGCTACGAAACAGAAGTATTTGGGAAAAAATCTGGCTTTAAACATCTCAAATTTGGCTGTGTGTTGAAGTGGATCCTTGACCCTAGATCTCTCTGAGTTCCTCAAATATCAAACTAGAAAATAATTCTGCCTGTCCTCAGATGGGTCTGATGATGATGTTTATACAGTTTTCTAATACCCCACTGATTTAAGGAAAAAGCTAATGACAAATTTATTTAGAATTCAGAGTGAGATTTTGGTTTCATGCTACATACATATAAAAAAAAGTGTTCACCTTGTCTACTGACTTATTTCCTATAGAAAGAACCACATGATGAAGTAATGAAAAGTCAAAAATAGCATGTGAAGGAACAATGAAAGTGGATTTGGCTTGCTTTCCTAGTACTTACCGTAGTATTTCCCATTTCATCAACTTTGCAACCATATTTTTGTATGCAAGGATGAAGCAGCAACAGTCGTGTTGTTCTGTTTTTAATTTTTAATATAATTGCCACTGAAAAATCTTTACACATCTTGAATGTTCACAGTCAAATGGCTATATATATTGCTTACATTTTTTGTTGTTAATGAGAATTAGTTGCATTTGCTATTCTGTACCAGTTTCACCTTTATACTTTCACTATTGAGTTACCATCACTGTAAAGGAATTCTATTAAGTCTCTTAACTGGGGTGCACAAAATCCAAAATCTGTGTCTATTTCTTTGTTTCATAAACACTTGCAAGGATGTAATTCAGAGTTTAGACTACACTTAATCTGTTGTCCCTGAATAACTTTTTCTTTGTTTGGTACTGTCACAGAATTCTCATATTTACAAACTAGAAAAGAAACAGATGCAATTCGCAAGAATAAATAATTCTGGATTTATTTGTTCTGATTAAGCTCAAATAGTTTTTGGATTAATATCTTTTAAAGTTAACTGTTTGTTATTAACTGCTACTAAGTATGAACCGTGACTTAACTAGTAACCAATAGTAACAGCTTTATACCATCAGGCTCTTAACAGACACGAGAAGTCTTACATATATTGTATTTGCTGTACTTTAATTGAAACTAGCTGCTAGTGAGGAAGCCACATACTTATATGATGGCCATTTGTTCTCCATGCGTATCGAATATTTTCTGGGTTTTATTTTTGCCTTTTTTCTCCCCCCTTTGGCACATGAAATGCATGCAATCAAAATAACTAAAAATCTCAAACATGTCGTATTTATTTTGACTTTATTTGACTTTGACTCCCTCTACAATTTTTCATAATCAGCCTGAAATCTTTTCTTCTTTTTCATCCTTGCTGTGATCTGAGTATAGTAGCTAAATATCTCTTAGCTCATTATATTTTTCTTATTTGCATGAGTTAAGCGTAGCCCTCTTAAATTTAAGTGGACAGCCTATTTGATTGGAGTAATCTCCTCCAACACCTCTCTGTTTCTCTGTTCCTATAATGTGATTTTCAAATATATGGTGCAATTGCTCAGCATTATAAACTACATTTTCATTGCTTGGCTCTGGGTTTTGGATGGATGTCTGTTTTTCCACTTTCTCTTTTAGCATATAAGTAAATGATTTATTCCTTTAAAAAAATCAGAAATCATAATTTCCAGTGCTACACAAGTGATACTTTCACAATTTCTAGTTAGATTTTAGGGACTGTCAAAAATAACTCTACGACTCTGATGTCCTCGGTGCTTCAAGAAGCCAAGATCAGAGAAATAAGTATGCCTTTTTCCCCTCTCAGTCAGGGTTACTTATAGTATTTCAGATGCCAATCTCTTTCAGACTTCTGTAAATGCTACTTTGCCTATTTTATTTCTTAGTGAGAGAGAGAAAAAAATCTTTTTCATTCTGCTTTTCTAGTTTTCTGCGTTATGCTTTGTTCCTTTTATGTTTTGTACATAATCATAGCCCAACCATGTCTTGTGTCTTGAAATTTCACTTCTTACATTTTTCCATAGCTAGCCATTTCACTTCTCATAATATGCGCAGTTATCTTTGTCCAAGCTTCATTGGTGTTGGCATGGTCAATTGGGTCACTATTGAACCTTATCCTTAAATACCAGAACTCTTTCTGCAGGCCTTCACCACTTAATGCTTTGTTTTGCAACTTGGGGGCTTGGGTTTTGGCAGGGGAGTGTCCTGCACTAGCATTTTGACCTGCTGTGTAGAAAATGATGTGTAATCTTTAGCAGTAATTGTGATAATGGTACAATCCAAGCATAAAAATCTGGAAGATAAATATTGGAAGATATTTTCCACTATATACGTAGAATATTTTTCCATCATACAGATAAGTTTATCAGTTGACTGACTAACAGTTGCACAGCTTAAGAATGGGTTCTTTAGAGCTTTTTTTCCCATCTGTTGCCTTTTGTACGGTTGTCACTCTGTGTGTGTGTGTGTGTGTGTGTCTACATATACGTGTATGCTCACTTAGCATACACATAGCATTTGACAAAGCATACTTAGAATTTGACAAAATGAAAATCACAGTGCTATTGGCAAATTTTGGTCAAGCACTTTGTAATCACAGTCTTGGTAAAACAACTGGAAGTTACACTGAAAAGTTACAATAACTAATACAGTATGATATGTCTCCACACTGCCTTCATGTGGAGAAAAATCTAAGTTTATGCCCTGTTTTAAGTCCATTTTGTAAATCTGTCTTCAGTATGAAGCGCTGGCTTTGGCTTTGTCAATACAGTGAAGGAAAAATGTTATATTCTTTTCTACGGTAATAAGGGATGAATAGAATTAGAAGCAATATCCAAAAAATATCCACCAAAGCTAGAATAACTAGAATAATTCATCTTAATAACAATTGTTCTTCTGAAAACATACTTGTAGCTTTTTCATGTGCCAGTGGATATAGGAGTGGCAGAACAAGCATTGTGAAAATAGTTGCTTTTCTCCAAGCTTTACTGATTATGTTAGCTCTCAATTAGCATGATTTTGTATTTATTTTCAAAATCATGTCCCTTTATGGCTTTTCCAGGGGTATTATTTGTTTTTCTTTCCTGCAACCATTTTTTTATATGGATCATTTTTCTTTCTGATTATTGTAAGCACAACCTATCTTATCCCCTTGCACTCATCTGTCTTTCTGCCAATTCACATGAAGACACCTACTGAGCTCCTTCTCCCCTCAGAGAGTCCTGAGTCCAAGGTGTGATATAAGTCCAAATCATGACACCTTGGTCATTCCACTGTTTACA